CTACACTTCATAGGATGACATCACGGGTTCTAAAATAAGATATATATCAAATGTAATGAAAACTGTTAGGTTTTTTAAAAACTTCTGGATGAGTTTCTTCTTTCGCAGAATCTACAGCAATATGGGAAGTGTTAATAAATACAGACGCACACCCACGTGCATAGGTTGAACTGGATGGACGCTGGTCTTTATTCAACCTTACATACTATGTTACCAAAATTAGCTTATTAGCTTGTTAATGGGGGTGGGGGGCAAATATAAGTAGGTAGAACGTCAATAAACAATGAGTATTAATGAAAGATGCAATTCTTAGGGAACTCCTCATGAGATGTCATAGCCTCGGCTCTCTCATATTTCATGTTTCTAACATCGGTACCTGACCTCACAAGTGGGCAGAAATTCCAACAGCCGCCCTCCAAAATCTTGTGGAAAGCCCTCACATAAGAGTGGGCGATGCTGTAATGGGCGAACACTCTACAATTGGGTCAGTTGGGGGATGCTTTAGATATAAATATGGCTTTCTGGAGTTCTTCCTCATCTTATGTAACGTTGTCTCCTCTTTGTCTTTCCTGTGTCCTGCTCTCCAGCGGCCGGTGAGATGGCGATTTATCTTGTTGGCGTTCCTGGTGTCCATGGTCCTAGCAGCCCTTATCCAGGTCCTCAAGACCGAAAACCCCCGCCTCTTGGACCTTCAGGAGATCCTGGGCCCCATTGTGGCCAATCACAGCCGTGCCCCAGTCCTCCGCCAATCCGAGACTTTGTACCACCACAAGGATGAGTTTTACATGGATATGTCTGAGTACTCTCGGCAGTACCCGGCCCTTCAAGAGTACCGCTGCCGAACCTTCATAGGTCTCTCTGGGTATTGCCGGACTTCAGACCCTCTGATCATCTTGGCGGTGAAATCCCATCCTGCCTCCTCCGGGAGGAGAAGCGCGCTACGTTACACCTGGGCTCAGGAGAGGAGGATTTGGGGATACAGGTTCCTCCCCGTGTTCCTCCTTGCCAATTCCGGCCGCCGGCCAGAGATCGAGAGTCCCACCTGAGACCCCGCACAGCCCACCTGAGACCCCGCACAGCCCACCTGAGACCCCGCACAGCCCACCTGAGACCCCACACAGCCCACCTGAGACCCTGCAAAGCCCACCTGAGACCCTGCACAGCCCCCCCGGGGCCCCTGTGCAGCCCACCTGAGACCCTGGCTTCCCCGCTACACTAATTGCACAACTGTCAGGAGCTGGATACAGCATGCACACTATAGCCAGCGATTTACAGGTTACGTAAAATGCTCTAAACAGGAAGGGGTGGGGCAAATTTAGATTGGGGGTGCTCATGTTTAGTCTTGCCTAGGACAGCACAAAACCCAAATAGACCACTGTGCACAGCTCCTTACATATCGGCTAACATTTCAGTCCTGGTCATCGCTCCACCCACAGTCTGCCTTAGGCCCACCCAGCTGCCCAGACCTTGCCCACTAACTATGTGTAGACTGCCCACTTGCGGTCCCCTATCACTATAATGAATGTCTTATTGAGGTACTGTGCATGGGCTGAGTAACTAAAACAAGGATGGCGCTGTGATCCCGGGACATTGCCAGGGACACGTCATCATCAGGACTGAGGTCCAAGATGTGGGACTGTACAGGCAGATATCCACGTTCATAGCGTCAACTGTAACATTCATCAAGCCGGCGTACAGGTAGGGAATAGCAGAAGTGACACTAAGGCTGGGCGCACATGGGCGATTTGTGATATAGCGATGTACAGAACCGGGAGCTCAGCTCAGGGATGGTGGGAGCCCCTCATAATGGGCACAGCGGGTGTACAGACCCGGGAATTCAGCATAGGGATGGTGGGAGCCCCTCATAATGGGCACAGCGGGTGTACAGACCCGGGAACTCAGCACAGGATGGTGGGAGCCCCTCATAATGGGCACAGCGGGTGTACAGACCCGGGAACTCAGCACAGGGATGGTGGGGCCCCTCATAATGGGCACAGCGGGGGTACAGACCCGGGAACTCAGCACATGGATGGTGGGAGCTCCTCATAATGTGCACAGTGTGTGTACAGACCCGGGAACTCAGCACAGGGATGG